GAACTGCGCATGCGCAGTGGGCGTGGCATTACTAGATTAATTATTACATTATTATTATGAGTGTAATTATTACACATTGATGGTGGGTATTTTCCACCAAAGGGGGGAATATAACACCAGGGGGTTTCACCCACATTGGTGGAAAACCAAAAAGTGGGTACATTCCACAGATATGGTGGGTATAACCCACCATCGTTTTTGCAGTGTATCAGGCCCGTAGCCAGGGGGGGTTCGGGGGGTTCGGACGAACCCCCTGTTGTAGCTGCAAAAAAGTTTTAGATTAGCTCCTGTCATGAAGAACAGCACTGCAAAAGCAGGATTAGCATTTTGGCAACAGCGAGAAGCACAGATAGCCATTTTAGCTGAGTCAGCACATGGCTGAGATGCGTAAATTAAGACCACGCCTACCGGTCACGCCCATTTTCGTCAAAATTTTTGCTGCGCGCTTCGCGCGCAGCAATTTCCGAACCCCCTGTTTTAAGTTCCTGGCTACGGCCCTGTGTATAATACCAATCTGGTTACAATATCAAAAATTATGAGTTTTGATAACATTGTATGTAAAATGGGTGATTGATATTAAAATTGCCAAGGCTTATACTTCGAAGTCTCAGTACAGCTAATTTAAATAACAAATCAGTAGTGAACACTCTCACTTTACCTTAGTATTCAATAAATTGCTGACAAGATACTCTGTAGTGTATCACTGGCATTAACTTAGAACTAAAAATACAAAAAACATAAAAATATAAAGAAAAAAAATACTACCGTAGATCGGGAAATTTTCATGTTAGAAATAATTGGCGTGAAATTTTTTCAAGGTATTTTATTTTCGCTGGTTGACCCATCCGCGAAATTTTTTCAACATGAAAATTTTTGGACGCGTCATAAACCGCACAAGTGGCTACTAACTCTTGATGACGATGGACAGCTATTCAATGGAAGTTGCTCGTGACAGTACTAAAACTGACAAGGAGCCTCTTGGGTGAGAGCTTCAGGCCTTCTTTGGGCTTTTAGAAGACTAGAAGAGCCTCGTGGGGGTGCACCGCTGCACGTTAGAATAATTCCGGTAATCTTATTATTCACTGTAGAAAATATTTCGTGTGTCAAATTTTCGCGGGTCACTTCATCCGCGAAAATATTTTAACAACGAAAATTTCCCGATCTACGGTATTTACTTTGATAATTCATCTGCATGACTCTTGTTAGTTTCAAATAATTTCCTAAATAGTTTCTTAATAATCGCAACACAGTTCTGACTGGAGGGGGATGGCCCCACCCTTAAGAATTATGAGAGGAGTGGTCCAAGAAGAATTGGTGTACACACCCAAGAGTTACCATGCATGATCGTGAATGATGTAGTCTCGCTAGCCAGACCATTCCCCAGCCATAGTGTGTGTATGTAGTATCTATGGCTAGAGTGGGGCGAGCTCAGGCTCGCCCCTATGGCAAGCCAAATGTTTCAAAATTATATCCCTACCTTATGACGTCGTGTTGACGTGATTTACGTCGACACGACATAAAAACGTCGTAACAACGTGTTTAATATGTCGTAACAACATGTTTTATGTCAACCTATGGCAAGTAGGACCGACATACTTATTGGGTACTATCAATAGTCATGATGACTAGTGATGGGCGATACTATCGAAAAGTATC